CTGATATTACAGTACCACTCAAACGGCATGCACATCTTCCAGGTTTTAGAAGGTGCTCAGTTTTTTTTTTTCAGGTCCTCTTCTTAATTCCTCATTTGTGATGGGTTTCACACTCCAACATGTGCCTCTCCATCGCCTTTAGGAGACCCTCAACTTTGATTCTTTGGAAATAGTAGCATATTCCACAACTTGTAGTCAAATGATATCACCGGAAGAATAATGGTGTTAAGAACACAAACCACTTTTTTCCCCCAGGGAGAAGGTTGAAGTTGTTAAAAGATGGTGTAATTTTCCAAAGTCGAGCTGAATTCCATCTGCTCAGGTCTAGGCCCACCTTGCTGTCCATCTGCATCGTCTCTCTCAGATATGTGTATTAACGGACAGGCACTGGAGGTTATCCATTCAGTTTGGACTGTAACTCATACTACAGTGACAAGAAGCTTATAGAACACGATTGTTTTAGAACTGAACAGACTGGCAGTGTGGGGAATTCTCTAAAAATCACATGTTACCACCCAAATTTGAGATAAAGGAAAATCATAAACAGATGTGACTAACATTTAAACTGGGATTAGGAGGATTATAAAGGTGACAAAGGTCACAAGAAGAGTAAAATAAGGTTGTGTGAGCAGTCCTACTTAATCGTTGCCAACACTTCACAAATAAAAAACAGTAAGGGAGAGAAAATGTGAACTTGGAACCCAACAGTTATGGGGACAGAGCATACTGAGTTGTTCTTTAATCGAACAAGTAGGGACAGTAGCACTGGTGGGGTCTAAAAAAAGATGAAATATAAAGTAGTTAGAGTATAGGAAGAAAAGGAGGAAAAAGAAGGACATAGAAGATGAAGGTAGAGTTAGATATTCAAATGCTATGTAGAGATTTTAGGGGGAAGAAGAAAGAAACAGAAGTAGGGAAGGTGATACAAAACTAAGTTGGGAAGCAGTTGGAGGAAAATGAGTCTGTAAGAGATGTGGATTGTGAGTCTGAAAGAATCTATGATATCATGATATAAAAAAGGGGAAAAAAAGTTGGTCCAATGGGAGCCAGGGGTGGAATGGAGAATAAAGGAGAATTGAACCCCCAAAAGTAGAGAGAAAAAGAGCACTGTATGACAACATCTTGAAAATGAGAGCAAGACAATAAGACAGTCTATTAGTCAGCCACTCAATAAGCAATTTATTAAGCACTTATTATGTGCCAGGCACTGTGCTAAATGCTAGGAACAGAAAGGCAAAAATAGTCCCTGCTCTCAAAAAGCTCATATTTTAATGGAAGAGACAATATGCAAATAATTATGTAGTCTAGAGTGGTGGCTCATGCCTATGGTCGCCGCTACTAGGGAGGTTAAGTTTGGTAGGTCACTTGAATCTGGGAGTTCTGAGCTACAGAAGGGGTAAAGCCAATTGGGAGTCTATATTATGTATGCTACCAATATGGTGAGCCTTCAGAGTTGGTGGTAGTGGAGGGGAAGAGCTGGGCTGCCAAAGGAGGAGCAAACTGTTGTGTGTCAGAAACAGAGCAGGTCAAAGCTGTGATGATATGCTGTGGGATCCAGGCCTATAAGTGGCTGTAGCACTTTTATAGAGTCTAGGGAAAAATGGAGGACCAACCTCAAAACTCAAAGCAAGACAGTCATCTCCTCCAACAATGGAATACAAGATATGTGCCGCATAAACAGAAGGTTACTCAGAGGGATGGGACTGGTGGTGGGGATAATGATGGTGGTGATGGTGGGTTCCTGTGGAAAATGGGCAGCTCAGTCTTGAAGGAAGCTGGAAAAGCTAAAATGTGGAGATGAGAAGAGAGAACATTCCAGGCCTGGTGAACAGCTAGTGTAAGTTCACAAAGTTAGGAGAAGGAATGTTATGTCTGAACAACAGCAAATTAGGCCATTGAATGGTGGGTCATAATGTAAGAAGACCAGAATGGTAGAAGGAAGGAGCCATCTTGTGAATGGCTTGAAATGTCAAAAAGGGGATAGACTCAAAAGAATGAAATTTCTCATGAGGAAATTAATCAAATGTGACAGTTTAACAAACTAAAGGAAATCTGCAGGTAGGAAGGACCAAGAGTTGTGCACGGCAAGAGATTTGGGACAACTTACAAGTACTAGGACTGAAAGAGTTGGAGAATTTAAATAAAATCATTATTCTATCAGTTAAAGCACCATGGGCCTGCTTCAACACAGGAAAAGCCAAAGTTTTCCTTTAATGCTGACATTTGAGACAGGATATTAGAAAATTATTGAAATTCAAAATGTCATCATTTGGTAGAGTACTGGAGGGAGGGAACATGGGTCTTACAGTGGCTCAATCCACTCTGCATCTGTTGCTCAGCCTAGTCTCAACTCCATAGATGCCTCTCCCAGATTAAGCCCATCACCTCTAATCTCATCACTATGATGCCTACTGAGGAGGAGCCTCCTCTCCTCCCTGGTTGGAGGGCTGGAGGATAGAGTACCAAACTCCTCTCAATGCCTTCCCTTATAGAGAGCAGAAACTAGGCTCTGGCTCACTCCACTTGGCCTTGTTTCAACTCCTTTGTGCCAGGTAACTCCTGGCTTATTCCTCTTCTCTTTCCTGCCTCCATCCATTGGACTGTAAGCTCCTTGAGGGTAGAAACTGTCTTTATTTTTATTAATCGCACCCCCAGTGCCTGGCACATAGTAGGTGCTTAGTAAATGTTTACTGGATGTTGGACTACTTGGAAGGAGATGAAGGGCACCTAGTCCAACTCATCCTTGGACAGGAATCTCCTCTCAAATATCTCTGCCAAATGGTCATCCAGCCTTTGCTCAAATACCTCCAGGGATGGCGAACCCACTACCTAACAAAAGAGATTACTTCGCTTTCGTACAGCTGTAATTATTAGCAATTTTAAAAAAAATAAACAAATAAACTTTTTAAACAAAGTTCTTAAACATAGAGTGTTCCAAAAGCTTTAGTAACTTAAAATGGCACTAAATCTTTTGGGAAACCCTGTTTAAAGCTCAAGAGATTAAGAGGTCTTAAAGATTAATTACATGAGGGGCAGCTAGGTGGCGCAGTGGATGGAGCACAGGCCCTGGAGTCAGGAGTACCTGAGTTCAAATTCGGTCTCAGACATATAACAATTACTAGCTGTGTGACCCTGGGCAAGTCACTTAACCCCACTGCTTAGCCCAAAAAAGAAAAAAAAAGTGTAAAAAAAAGATTAATTACATGAATCATGTCTCTTAATAAGAGAAATCATAATCATCCCTTAATCATTACCTTAAAGTGTATTTGTGTGTAATTCACATTACAGATTTCCATGGCAGGAATTGCATTTATTTTAACAGCTAGCCATAATACTAAAGGATGGTAAGGATGAATAAAAAGGATGTTTGTTCCTCATTAAGCTATAAAGTCTTCAAACTACAGCTGAAGCACTAAAATACATTTTTATTTAAATTATTAGCAATTTTTAAAAAAGCATCAAATTTAAATGTGGCCTTCAGCTGTTTTCAATGATTTCTCCTAGTTTGGGCCTCTGAAGCCAAGAAGACCAAGTCTAATCTCCATTCTACAAAACAGCTTGGAGATAGTTATGTCTCTTGCTCCCATTTCCCAGAATCTTCTCTTAGATAGTTATGTTTCTCCTATTTCCCAGAATCTTCTCTTCTCCAGAAAAAATATCCTGAGTTCTTTCACTGATCCCTTCTATGGCATGGTCTTCTATCCTTTCAGTATCCTAACTGCCCTCTTCTGGACACCCTCAAACTTGTCAATGTTTCTCCTAAAATGTGGAACCCAGAATTGAGCACAATACTTGAGATGTGGTCTGACCTTAGCAGTTTGCCTTGGGGCTGTGACCCTTCCTTGAATCGAATACAGAGCCTCTAATCAGTGCAGTCTAGGACCACACCACAAATGCTGCTGAATGGAGTTTATAGTCCATTAAAATCTCTTGATATTTTCCATACAAGTGACTGCTTAGCCTTGCTTCCCTATCATGTACTTACAAAGTTGATAAAATTCAAAGCATAAGACTTAATACTTAAACATACACATGTTATCTCAACGAGTAGCTTGGAGTGGTGGTTAGACAACTGGCCTCAGAGTTAGGAAGATGTGGGTTCACATTCTGCCTCTGACACATATCACCCGTATGACTTTGGGCAAGCTATTTAAACTCTCAAGAGTACCGGACAACTCTTTAAGAGGGGGGGAAGGGAAGAAGCATTTCTATAGCCTCTACTATGTGCCAGCCACTGTGCTAAGTGCTTTTTATCAACCTTATCTCATTTGATCCCCATTTTGTATCCCCTGCACTTATCACAGTGCCTGGCACATAGTAGGTACTTAACAGATGCCAGTATGTGTCAGACACAGAACTTTTCAGTCAATTAGTAAGTAACCTCGAACTTTCTCAAAGTTGTCTCAGTACTCTAGGCAACTCTCTAAGCCTGTAACTTGTAGAGAAGGTCGAGAGGGTTTCTTCACTATCCCTATACCAATGAAACCACAAGACTAGTCCCTAGCCGTGATTTTTAATACATAAAAATAAATGGATAAAATGAACACAGTTAAGAAAATTGCTGAAAGAATGAGATCTTTGAGTACACATATTTAATATTTCTCTTAACATATTTTTCAATACCTGGGTTTAATCAGAAGTCATAGTGATAGTTCAATAACACTGATTCCAAAGTTCAAGATTACACAGATACTGAGTGTTAGAGGTGATATTTGGACCTGAGTCCTAATGTAACAATCTTTCCACTACAACACAGCTGTTCCATATATACAAAAAGCGTTAAGGACATCTGACAATAATTCTCTTATTGCTCACTGAAACTCTACCACTTCAAAGTCAAATAAGGCAATCCTCTTTTCTCTTGTCTCCTTCCCTTCTTTTCCCCCTCCCTGCAATAACTTTACACAATAGTTATTTTGGAACATCCCAATTTGAATGGGAAGGGGAGAAAAATTGGCTCCAGCAGCAGCAAACTTATGCTGCTCAATAATGTGGGTTACCTGCTTGTCTTTCTTGGGTAAAGAAGGCATGGGGGTTGGTTCCTGCTGCATCATTTCTATCATATTTGTATCTTTTTCCTTTTCTTCATTATCTGATAGATCTAAGAAAAGAAGAACAAGGCACATTAAAAATCATGAAAAAGAGAAGCTGGTTCCCCCTTTTGTTAAACAGAATGAATTAACAAAAGAAGGAGCATTTATTAAACACTCATGAACCATGCACTATGCTAAGTGCTAGGAATACAAAACCTAAGAAATCTCCTGCCCTCAAGAAGCTTATATTTTAATGGAGACAGATCACATCTTCAGGAGAGTAGTGGCCATGGAGGGATTTGGAAAGTTACAGGGATGGTGAGTGGAATCATAGGAGAATAGATTGGCAAACTTAGACCTTTAAAGACTATATTTAATTTCAAATCACTTTCTTGAATACAGATGATATATTTCAGATGTCAGTTTCTAATGGCTGAAACAATTACCAGGAATCTTCCAGGCATTAGAAATTGACAATTGAAATATATCATCTGTATTCAAAAAGTTGATTTGAAATTAAACAATATATTCTTTAAAAAACATATTTCCACATTAGTCATGTTGTAAAAGAAGAATCAGAACAAAAGGAGAAAACCACAAGAAAGAAAAAACAAAAAGAACAAAAAATATATTTCGCTCTGCATTCAGACTCCATAGTTCTTTCTCTGAATGTAGATAGCATTTTCCATCATGAGTCTTTTGGAATTGTCTTAGATCATTGTATTGCTGAAAAGACCTAAGTCTATCATAGTTGATCATCATACAATGTTGCTGTTATTGTGTAATACACATGTTCCCCTGGTTCTGCTCACTTCACCCAGCATCAGTTCATGCAAGCCTTTCCAGGTTTTTCTAAAATCCACCTGCTCATCATTTCTTATAGCACAATAGTGTTCCATTACGTTCATATACCACAACTTGGTCAGCCATTCCCCAACTGATGGGCATCCCCTCAATTTCCAATTCTTTGCCACCACAAAAAGAACTGCTATAAATATTTTGTACATGTGGGTTCTTTTCTATTTTTTATGATCTCTTTAGGATACAGACCTAGTAGTAAACAACATATTCTTTAAAGGTCTCCTAAGCCTCTAAGACCTATGAAGAATGCAGACATTAATCTTTAAAAAACTTTTTTTAATATCCCATCTTCTACAGGAAGCCTTTCCCAACTCAGAGTTTTTTTCTCTTAATTATTTCATATTTATCCTGTATACAGCTTGCTTTGTATCAATTTGTTTGCATGTTATGTCTCCCATTAGATTGCAAATTCCTTGAGGGCAGGGGCTATCTTAATTTAACCTCTTTTGTATCCCCAATGCTTATAAAAAATATTATGAAAATGAGTCAAATTCTTGTTCCAGAACTTATATAAGAAACCTGCTAACATACAAAATAGGAAAATTTCATTTCAGTGAAACTTGTATGAATTAGTTTATTTCTTTAGCAGTGATCTGATGCTGATCTGTAGATTCTGACAAGAAAAGGACTCTTCTGAAAAGGGATTCTTATCTGCGTGATTTCCATTAAGACAGTAGCCAAAGAGAACTGTTTTCCTTCCCTGAGGGGCCTCTAAGACCCTCAGGCTGCAGCAGGACTTTACACCAGTCTCCAATTCTCCTGGTCTAATTGCTTTAGTGTCAGGATCAAGCAAATGTCTCTTCTCTATGTTCCAAGAGTCAATTGATTCTGGGCAATGAATCCAATGGAGAACAGAAAGGCCTCTCCTCACCTCTCCAATAACCAAGATGCAATAACCTGGAGGCACTAAAAGAAATACAGGATTTCCATGGTTGGAGACAGCTAGACTAAAACAACAGGTAAAACAGTATCCTTTTTCTAACTTGGGCCAGCAAGGCCAGAAACGGAGGAGCAAATACCCATCACCCATACAGAATCTGGGTCCAGCTTCCTAGTGGGAATCACACTCCTTTCCTCTGTGGTATGAAAAAAGAGATTAGAGTCTTTTGTTTTCCAAAGTGTTGTCAAGAAGCATAAGTGAGAAAGTTTCTGTTTCACAAACTGGGAAAAATACAATTTTACATTTAGAGGCAGAGTATCCAGATACATAACTTTCTCTGTAGGAAAAGAATGTGGAGAAAGACTGTGAAGTGATTAGGGACATGTCTCTAAGTCTTCCATATACATGGAAGAATCCATCACTAAGGTCAATTTTCATAGGTAGTATTTAACTTTATTGTATACTTTATTACGAACCTCCATTACTTAGAGTAAGCTAGAAGACAAAGTAGAGCACTGACGTTGGGAGTCAGGAAGATGTGAATTCAAATCCTGCTTCAGGTACTTACTTGCTGTGTGACCCTGGGCTAGTTGCTTAACTCTGCAATGCTTCCCTCATATGTCAAATGGGGATAATAATGATGATGATGATAATTCCCAACTAAAATCCCATGTTCTACAGGAAGCCTTCCCCAACCTCTCTTAATTGCAGTATCTATCCTCAATTATTTCCTATTCATTCTGTGTATAGCTTGTTTTATATATATATATATATATATTTGTTTGCAAGTTGCCTCCTCCATTGGATTGTAAACTCACTGAGGACAGGGATTGTCTTTTGCCCCTTTTTGTATCCCCAGTGCTTAGTACAGCTCCTGGCACACAGTAGGTGCTTAATAAATGTTTACGGATTGACTAAATAATAGCATCTACCTTACAGGGTTGTTGTAAGGATCAAATGAGATATTATGTGTAAAGTGTTTTGTGAACCTTTTTAAAGACACTGTATAAATGTTAGCTACTAGTTAGCAGTAGCATAGTTCCTGCTATATAAGATTAATGAAAAATGTTTTGAAATAAAGTATTTTGAAGATTAAATCTATTGACACAATATCAATGATAATTGACTCAAAATAATAATAATAGCTTATCCTTCTATGAATTTATTTGATAAGTATTTATTAAGCACCTACTATTTACATGGCACTGATTTTGGTATGAAGACTACAAAGATGGTGCTTTACTGTTTTCCTTTCAACAATCTTCTAAGATAAGTAGAGCAACTATTATTAATAATGATGATGATAGCTAACATTTACATAGCACCTACTATGTGCCATATACTTTGCTAAGCACTTCATAAATACTATCTCATTTGAGCCTCACCAAAACCCTGGGGGCTATTATGATCCCCATTTTATACATGAAGAAACCAAGGCAGACAGAGGCGAAGTGACACCCAGCGTCACACAGCTATTAAGTATCTGAGGCTGGATTTGAACTCAGATTTTCCTGACTCTAGATCCAGCGCTCTATGCACTGGACCACCTAGTGACCTCACTACCATCAGCCAGAGAAGTTAAGTAACCTGTATGGGGTTGTGTGGTTAATAAATAGTAGTCACCAGTGAGTATGCTAGCAGCTGAAGACCCTCTTTTCACTACATTCCTATTTCTTCTACCTGGTATAGACCCTTCCTTATGACCTGCCAGAGTAGAGGTTGCAAAAGCCCGACAAAGACCTTCTGGTCCACCCTCTACCACTTTCAAACTGTCCTTCCCACCCTTGCCAGGCTCATCTTTGCTGTCCAGAGATGTGGTCACACATTCCGTCACATTTTGCTTACTCCTTTGCTCATAACCTTTCGGTGTATTCCTACTGATTCTTAAGTAATAATATTCAAATACCTTTGCTTGCTATTGAAGCTTTTTGTATAATGGCACCTCCTTAACTTTCTAGGTCTTAAAATTGTATATATTTGCACATGTGTGTACATATGCATACATGTATATATATGTGTATGTGTGTGTTTCCCTTCCATATACTCTATGCTCTAGTCACACTGGACCACTTGCTGTCCCTCTAAATACCCTGCACTTTCCCTTCTCCATCTTCTCCTTGACTTTGTTCTTGTCCTTCCTCATACCTGGAACAAGCTCCTTGCCCTCTCTGTCTGCTGAATGCCTACCAGGCTCTAAAACCAAAATCAAATGCTGGCCCCTCCATGAAGCCTTCACTAATCCCCCATCCACAGTTGGTGGTGCTTCCCCCATCCCTGCTACCAACACATATCATACATTTTATGCAACAGTAATATTATTTGTGTATTCATCTGCCTAACAGCCCAACATGGGAAGAACCAAGCGAATGAAGAATGTCTATTGTTCAGATTACGATAGACACTTGTATGGATATCTCATAAAGCCAGTCTATCAATACACATGATGGGTAAGGGCTGAGAATGGCTAAAGAACTAGACCCAGAATTGAAGGCGTGGAAAGCAAGTGAGACTGTCTATGGTTATAACATCACACAGTGCTTTTAAGGACTCCAGCCTTCTACCTGAACAAAAGGCCATCTTATTAAATACCAATAGTCTTCCAGTGGTTGCAAAACATGGAAAAAAACACCAATGGACAGTTAAAAGTGAGTACTGCAATAAACGAATTGGGGTAGCTAGGTGATGCATTGGACGGAGTGCTAGTCCTGGAGTCAGGAAGACCTGAGTTCATATCCTGCCCAAGACACTTATTAACAACACAATCCTAGGCAAGTCACTAAAACCTCTCTCTGACTCAGGTTGCTCATCTGTAAAATATGGATAATAAAAGTATCTATCTCACAAGGTTGTTGTGAGGATCAAATAAGATATGTTGAAGTGCTTTGCAAACCTTAAGGCACTTTACAAATGTTAGCTACTATTATTGCACACCTATGGGAGATATTTAGCTGTAAGGGACATTTTAGCTCTGTTTCTATAGTACATGCAGAGAAGACTAATGATATCTCCAGGTCCCTTCCAACACCCCATGACTTTCTGAATCCATTCTGTCAGAATCAATTACATTTTACCTTTCCAGTGCCGTAGCATACCCCTGGAAGAGAGCTGTCTATTGTCCGGGTAATTGATACTTCACAATGCTGTAGACACAACTGTCCCTTAAAAGGCAAAAGTTTTGATGACATTTATCATCCCTAAGGAGCAGGAATGTTAAACTTGGCCAAGATATCCAGTTCTGGGAACAGCTCCTCCAAGATTATGCTCCCAACTCCACGTGTGACTCCCACAAGTATTAATTAGGGAAGAACATAGTTCCCACATTCAAAC